ATAGGAATATAAAACTCCTTTTAAAACACGTACGAATGAATCGTATTAATGTCATATTATTAGTCAAAGTTTTAAATATAATAAATATGATTAAGAATATTTTAAACAGCGTCAAAGTGTGAAGAATATTTAAGTACTCGTTTTAAATTCTAATTTAAAAAAAAAAAAATTAAGCACCGCCAACAAATTACCGTAATCATTTCAAATTAGGATACTCAAACTAAGAAAAAGAACTATGTATTAAACATTATTAAAAATAAATTCTCGTTTAAAATTCTCATGTCTCAGAAAATAAAGTAGTTGTAGTTACCTCTTTTAATTAATAAAAGTTTATTTTTTTATTGAATTTCGTGCGCGCTATTGATCAGTTAAACAGTATGAAAGACAAAAGAGAACCAAGTTGGGTTGTAACCCACAAGACGTGATGTAGCTGTCACTGAGCCAATTACTGGCGACGTGTCATCAGATTAATCCAGGATGGGTTAGATGTCATCGTGTTTTCACTCTGCCACTACTGACTAACGTTGTTACTTTATTTGGTTTTCGTGTTTCGAAAAATAACTTTCTTCCATCGATAGGATATTATAATTGTCTTTTATTTCAGAAGGTAATCTCTTTCCTGACAATTTCTTCTTGGTTTTTTAGAATGGTTAATGTTATTCGGAATAATTTATTACTTTCTAAATTTAATTTGTCTGCCGTTTCTTATGAATTTAATTTATGTTTATGTCTGTTTATTTCGTTCATAATTCGCCGTTGATAATTTGATATTCTATAAATCTTTAATGATTCTAATGGATTCGACAACAATGGCTCCTACCATTGGCGACTGTTTGGAGACTTTCGTTACGTTTTCTGTTGGTGAATAGATGTATTGATCGTCTCCATCATACATCATTTAATTTGTGAAGCGGATTTCAACTATATCTTATCTTTCTATTAGATATTCTTTCTTGACATAATTATTTATCTCGCGAGTATTAATACTTTTATTTTTCAATAAAATTCTATTTCTATTCCGATAAAATTAAATTATAAAAATTAAAAATAACTATTTTAATTAATATATTTTATAAATTTAAAAATTTCTCGAAAAATTCATTTGAAATTATCGAAAATTTTTCAGAATGATAAAAGAACTAGAAATTGGAGGGAAATCTTCATTTTATAAACAATTATAAATTTAATATTTGTTTCATAATCAGAAACATTTTATTATAGAGAAATATAAATTTAAAAAAATAAAATTTAAGGATTATCATATTGCATAATAGAGCATTACAGAATGAAGTACTATTGTTCACAAAAGGTACTACTATATTCTTTTCGCGACTGTCGTTGGGACTTTAAATCCCACAACAACTTCGTTCAATAATATTACCACAAATGATTTTCGTTTGCCTCAGGATATATGCAATGGTTATCAGGAAAACGATTGAAATCTATCATACTTTTTTGTTTATAAGCTTGGTTAGAGAATCTGTTTGCTTAAACCACACATTTATCATACCAGAAAAAAATATTCTATAAAAATTCAAAACTAAAGGGAAAAAGAAAAGAAATAAATAAATTTTGCTTCCAGGGAAACTACGTATTCAAAAAATAATTGAAATCTAAATATTAATTAAATTATTATTATTTTTATCATNTTATTAACTAATAATTATATTAGTTTTAAAACTTTTTAAATCAAAATTAACAATTTCATCTATAGTTAAAATGAAAGTTTATATATTCAAGTAAAAATGACTTGAAACTCATTATAAATTTATTCATTTAAATATTACTGAGTAAATTATGGCTTATTTTATCTAATAAGATAATTTCCGAGTGATAAATAATTCAAATTTGTAAATTTTCAAACTAATTCTTCAATTTATAAATGAAAAGAAGAAAAATTAAATCTTATTAGAAAGTCATGACTTAACTAATTTTCTTCGATCTAAATTTTTGATTATTCGAAAAGCGGTAATATAAAGAATTTTCTGATTTTGAAACAAATTTCTGGTATGAAAACCATTTCAATATAATTAAATTAGCTTAAATTATTGGAAAAATTGTCACATTAGACTTTGCACTATTTTTATTTTTCAGTTGTTGGTTATCCATACAAAGAGGAATGTTAATCTCTTTTATAGTGCCGATGTCTCTTCTTATATTGGTAATTATTTGAATTTTTGAGATTTTAATATTCTGTATAAAAAGAAAAAAAAATTAAAATTATAAAAGTTTTAATACGGAATTATATTTTCAATAGATAAATACAGTTTTCATGATTTTGGTATTGAAAACGTTCTTTCAACAAAGACCAGTGACACACATGTCAGAAATAGAAAAAACCAGGTTAGTTATTGCTTGTTTTTTTTTTCAATTATTAAATTGTATAAAATGTCTAATTATTTCGAATTTAAGACTGTACTGTACACAATACTTTGCATAAGACTTGTACTGTACATAATGAAAACTTTGCAGTACAGTAGAACCCCGATTATCCGAGGTAATGTGAACCGATACAACAATCATTTCGGATTAAAAATTATGAATTTAAGAGATTTATACATCACTTTTAAATCTCTTTCTACATCTTATTGAATTAAATGATATATGAGAACAACAATTTTTACATCATTTATAATACAGCTAATAGTTACTATAATAGTTTCAAGAATTAAAATGTGTATTATTAGACTATAGTTGCAATTTAATATGAATTATTTGTCTCGCATTCAAGTTAAACGATAAAAGGTAACAGAAACAAATCATTTTGTAATACGTTTTATCATTTTAAACTTTCTGTTATGATTTACAATATAAGTAATGTATTCACTTAAAGATATGTTTCGGATAATTAGGGTTCTATTGTATTTCCTGTTTAAACATATTAAATCTGCTTCTCTGTTTTAAATAAAGAATAAAAATGTTTAAAATATTGTTTACCCTCTGTTAATTATAATCAAATTCTTCTTCCCTGAAAATTTTTTACAATGAGATGTCTTAAATTCGAAGTAATACGGTATATTAATATGCATACAAAGTTTTAATTTTAGTATAACAATTTATCTTAATTTATTTTTTAAATAATCTTATAAACAAATGAGGAAATTTCTTAATTTTAATCAATAAGCATCAGCTCCGTAATACGTAATTTAATATTCCTACATTTAAAAAATATATAATTTTTCTGGAATTATCAAAAATTAAAAAAGAAATTGTTATTATGTAAATGAATCTATCTCGATGGTTTCATTTTACATAGCATAAAAGAAATTTTTCCTTTCTAAATGTAGTTAAAATTCTCATTTTCTCGACTGATTTATTTATTATCTTACATAAAATATTTTCGAAGAATAATTTCGGTTATGAAATTAAAGAAATATACGAGGAAAAAAAAACAAAAAGAAAAATGACAATTTCTCTTACTTTTTCCACGACCAAAATTGAAAATCAAGACGATAAAGACAATAAAATAGCTAAATTAATTTAATTGTAAGTTAGAAAAATAGAATTAAACATTAATTTCGTTTTCAGATTTTTTTCTTATCTATCCACAGGGTATCATTAAGAGCCGGTGTGACATTATTGCCTTTCTTTGCTGTAAATTGGTTCTTTGGTGTATTAGCCCTTGAGGACACATCCACTACCATCTTCCAATATGCATTTGCTTTTACTAATAGTTTACAGGTAACTCCGATTTTATTTTAGGTTTATTTTTTAATGAATTATAATCTTTTATGCTTTTAATTGTTACAAGATGTTGATGGAATGTAAACAATTAATATTATGTTTTTTTATAATTTTCTATTTCATAGGGAATTCTGATTTTCATCTTCTACTGTTGTATGGATATAGAGGTATTATTATATTCAGCTTTACTCAATTTATTTTAATAGGAAAGTTTTTAAGTTTTTTATTAGTATAAACTGATATCTAACATTAATTTTAAAATTTGTAATAAATATCTTAAAATATTTTATTTCAAAATTAATTTAGTTATACAATGTATATTGTAAAT